GCACGGCTCACCTTGGAGAACTTGGTCCAGGGCAAGGCGCTCTCTGGAGATGGCTTTGAGCCTGGAGGGGGGCAGAATAGGGTGAGTGAGGGGGGCTGGGCTGGGGCCGGGGGGCTCAGGGATGCGGGGCTGTACCGAAGAGCTTCTCAGCCAACATGTGCAGGTGCTCCCGGCTCAGGCCACGCTCAGCTGTGCTCTGGAACTGCCAGCTCAGCACCTCCGCCAGCCGGGGCCACGGGGCTGGGGGTGGTGTGGAGAAGAACTGCTGGTCCTGTAGGGATGGCAGCGGAGGAAGGGACGGGACTGAGACGGATGGGGGGACAGGCAGGGATGGCAGGAGGACAAACACATGGGACAGATGTACGGAAAATGGAATAGGGCGGGGGGTGAGACCAGCACAGGGGCCAGAGCGTGGGAACAGACACAGCACAGGACACAGAGACAGGGATGGGACATTAGGACTGGGATGTGGGGCGATGGGCTGGGCAGGGGTGTGGGGGTAGGGGGGACAGCGTGGGGGCTGCTTGCCTTGGGGTTGGGGCTCAGCATGTTGAACCAGAGCACGGAGGCCCAGGCGCTGGAGAGCTGGTTGTTGTTGGAGATGATGACGAAGGGCAGCGTGGAGGTCTGTGGGGGGAATGGGGGTCATTATGGGCAGCCCCGACACCCAGAAACATCCTCCCCCCTCCAAAACTCACCTCCAGCTTCAGCTCCAGCCCGCAGTATGCATATGCCAGTGTGAAGGTGATGAGGTGAAGCTCCTCAGTCACAGCCAGAGAACCCTGCACAGGATGGGAACCCTCGCCCACTGCTCACCCTGCGCCCCCTCCCCAAAACCCACACCCACCTCATTGGTGCCTCTGCTGCCTTTGCCTGATCCTCCGCCCTTCTGTTCCTTCAGCGTCTGCGGGGGGGTGGAGGAGGTCAAAGTGGGGCTGGGGGTCAGGTGGGGCTTGGGACGGAGTGGACCCAAGCGGGGGTCCCAGATGGGGAGGACCCAGCGCAGGAAGGGGGACGCATACGAGGTACTGGAAGTCGCAGACCAGCCCCTCCCGGGGGCTGTCCCCAACCAGGACGGTTTTGCTGCTCGAGGTCAGAATGTTGAATTTGCGGAAGCTGTGGGGCAAAGGGAGGATGTAGATGGGGGCTGCTGCAGCCGACACCCCCCGGGGATGCTGATACTCCTCTGAGGACACCAGGAATCCCCCCTGAGGTCCCGTTCCTGCCGCCATTGCTGGCACTCAGCTCTCACCCTCGCGTCTTCGGCGGGTCCCTGCAAAAGGCAACACGGAGTCAGCTGTGAGCGTGGCCCAGGACCGCAACGGGGGGCGGCGGGACCCAGAGCCCCCGACCTGTCGATGTGGATGTTGGCCTGCATGCGGTGGTTGCGGTCATGCAGGCGGACCAGCAGGCGGGCGCGCGTGCAGAACTTGTTGGCTGTGCGCAGCACCAGCGGGCGCTTGGGGGTGTTGGGCATACAGGGCTGCTGCTCCACCACGAAGGCACTGCGGGCGGGGGGGGGGTCTCAGAGCAGCTCCATCGCATCCCCAGCCCCCCCACGCTGCATCCCCCACCTCTGCAGCAGGCAGGTGAGCTGCTCCTGCAGCCGCTTCTGCAGCAGTGGCAGCTCTGACTGCAGCGGGTCCTGCTCGTAGGTCACCTTTTGCCGCAGCTCTCCCGCTGCCCGCAGGAGCTGCAGCAGCTGGAAGAGCCCCTCGCCCAGCGCCGTGAACCTGCAGGCGATGGGGGTCAGCAAAGCACGGCCCCCCCCACCTCCCCCAGCCCCCCCCAGCCCACCCCTACCAGCCCTGCAGCTGCAGCAGGCAGGTATCAGCGGGGGCTCCCAGGCAGCTGCGCTGCTGCCTCTCACGCCACGCGCTCAGTTCCTGCTGCAGGAAGTCCCGCAGGGTCTCGCTGCGCCCCAGCAGCTGCTGAATCTGTGCCACCACCTCCTGCAGGGACAGCGGGTCTGGCTGGGGGCGCACCACAGCTGTGCCCCCCCATCCCCATGGCCCGGCTCTGCCCTTGCTCACCCGCCGCTGCCGGTCCAGGGACTGCAGCTTAGCCTGGAGTGCTTGGATGTGCTGCACGTACTGCGGGTCGTGGGAATGGTCCTGGCCTGCAGCGGTGCGGAGGGGCTTTAGGGGGTGCAGGGAGCGCTGGCTGTGCCTCCCCCCCCCCGAGGCGCAGCCTTACCTGGCATGTAGTACATCTTAAAGCTGAAGTCAAAGGTGTCCTGGAGGTCCTCCATGTGTCGGAATGCACGCTCAGCTTCCTGGGGATTGGGGGGGAGTGAGGGTCTGTGCACCCCCATGGGCTGGGGGACCCTGGGGAGAAATTACCTGCAGGGCGGTGCGGAATTCAGCCAGGCGCTGCTGGATCTCCCGCTCCTGGCTGCTCTGTGGGGCTGTGCTGGGTGCCGGGGGGGTCTCCGCCTATGAGACAGGGGGGGTCAGGCACCGGGTGGCTCAGCTCTGCCGGCTGGGGGGGGGAACCCACCCTACCTGCCCCTTCGCCTGCGCCCTCCGCAGGACGCACCGCTCCTCCTGCAGCAGATTGGCCACCAGGTTGGCAAAGTTCTCAGGGTGCTCCTCGAAAGCAGCCTGTGGGGTGCACAGGGGGGAGGACTGTCAGTGTGCATCAAATTCCCACTGCACCCATAGATCCACCCCCAGTCCCCTCCCACCCAGCCACCCACCTGCAGGTCGATGCGCGCCTTGCGCAGGTTGTGCTTCAGCATGAAGTCCTCATCACCCGGCCCCAGGCTGCCCAGCTGCTCCCCCAGCAGCGTCAGCAGCGAATGGAACAGCATCCGCGCGTGGGACGAAAAGGGCTCGGCCGCCTGCTGCCTGCGGGACCGCTCAGTGCCTGCCCCACGGGGACCCCCCATCGCCCCACGGTATCCCCCCGCGCCACGGTTCCCCCCGTACCAGTCTTGGTCCTCGATCCAGTCCGCCAGGCTCTGCCGGACGGTCATGGGCAGCGCGGCGTTGGTGTACAGTTGGTGAACGCGCTCCAGGTGGGTGGGGGGCAACTGCTGCACCTCCTGCCACTGCGCCATGCTGGCGGGCGGGGGGGCAGGGCGTGCTGCTGGGACCCCTCCGGCTGCCGGGGAGGGAAGCGGTGCCGCTCACACCGCACGCCCACCTCCCCCCCCGGCCCCCCCCCCCCGCGCCCCCCGCTGGGGGCCCGTGGGGGGGGGGGGGGGGGGGGGGGGCCGCCCCCCCCCCCCCCCCCTCCCACAGACTCCTCCCGTCCCGCCGCTGCACGGCACCCAAAGGCCCCACCCAGAAGCGCCCATCGGGTGGCCACCCCCGGCCCCGCACCCCGACCCTGATCCCAATCCCAGTATCGGACCTGGACTCGGCTCCCCGCTCCCGACTCCCGGCTCGTTCCCGGTCCCGTCCCCCGACCCCGCGCCGTGGCCACGCCCCCTCCCGGCTTTGCGCGGTGATTGGCGGAGCGCGGCGGAGAGGCCACGCCCCTCGGGGCGGGCAACGCGGGAGTTCCTGCGGGCAGCTCCGCTTCCCCGAAATGACGACGGGGGGCGGGGCCACGGAGGGGGCGGGGCAGAGGGACGGGATCTGCGCGGGTGGGCGTGGTCATAAGCGAATGGGCGTGGCCGCGGGCAAAAGGGGGCGGGGCCGGCGGGCGGTCGCGGAAGGAGATGGCGGAGCCGGGTGGGGGTCGGCAGCGGGAGCGCAGGGGACGGAGCGTTGGGGGATGAGCCCGCAGGGTCGGAGCCGCGGGGCAGCGCCGTGGGGCAGAGTGCCGCCGTCCCCACGCCGGGCGCTGTCACCGCGCGCCCCGTCCAAGGCCGTCCCCGGGCCAAGGTCTCCGCGACCCGGGGCGGCGCGGCTGCACTGACCGGGAACGAGACATCGACAGGGACACGGGCGGGGACGCGCCTTTATTCACACCACGAGGACGGGGCCGCTGTGAGCGCTGGGCGCCGTCGGGGGTTCCCCGTCGGCGGTGAAGTACCCGTAGAGCGCGCGGACCCCCGCTTTGATGCCGGGCTGCAGCCCGAACCGGATGCCCACGGCCACCGGGCCGCCCCCGGTGAGCGCCGTCAGCGCCGCGTAGCCCAAATCCTCGGCCGCCTGCAGCGCCCGCTCGGACGCGAGCAGCTCGCAGCCCTGGAAGGCGAAGTAGAGGCCGCTGCCAATGTTGTAGACGGCGTTGACGCCCGGCACCCACTCGAGCACCCCGTGCGCCTCGCGCTCCCCGGGCGGGCTGCACGCGTCGTCCTCCGCCTGCCGACGGCACCGGAACGTCCCGGTGCGGGTCTCGTTGCGGGGGAGAGCGCAACGCCGCCGCAGTCGGGCCAGGCTGGAGAGCAGCGGCAGCGTGCGGTGCGCGGGGACGTCCCGCAGCCCCGCCAGACCCCGCAGGAGGGCGGTGGCCGCGGGGGGGCTCAGCTCCCGGTACAGCCCCCGCGCCGCCGCCTCCGCCTCCGCCTCGCACCCGGCCCCGTTCAGCGCCAGCGCCAACGAGGCGCGGGACGTGGCGCGGGGCAGCAGGGGGATGCGGGAGAAACCGGGGAGGGCGTCGGGGAGCAGCGCCCCGCACGGAACCCCCCGACCCCGCAGTGCCTGCAGGGGGGGAGCGACCTCCGCAAGCAGCCCCCGCACCGTCGCGGTCCCTCCGTCACCCCGCGGGGGCGCGGTGGTCGCGGTTTCCCCCCGGCCCTGGAGGAGGAGGAGGAGGAGGAGGAGGAGGAAGAGCAGAGCGCGGCCCATGGTGGCGGCTCGGGGACACCTGCGGAGGTTTAGGGGGGGCACAGCCGTCAGCCCACAGCTGCACCCCCACCCCTCCCCTCCCACCCCCAGCCCCCCGCTCACCGCTCGCAGTCACCGCTGTCCCCGCACCTCCGTCGCTGCGCTGCGCCCCCCCTCCCCTCCACGGCCCCTTTATAACCGCCGCTATCAGCGGCCATTGCGACACACGGGGACAGAGCCCCGCACCGCCCCCCCGACAGCGCCGGGCACAGCCCAGACTTCGTGCACTGATTTATTTGGTGCCGTTCCCGATGTAAAACAGTGTCAGAAACAAACAAACAAACCCTAAACCCAAACCCCGGTGAAAAGGTAAAATGGGGACAAGGGAAGGAAAAGCACCGCGCCTTTAAAAAGAACTTAAAAACCCACAGAGAGCCCCCAAAACCGATAAAGCTGTACAAAAAGCCCCAACAGCAGAGCAGGGGCATTGCAGGGACTGCTGTCCCGGGGAACCTCAATCTTCCTCCTCTTCCTCCTCCTCCAGAAGGCGGCGGATGCGTTTTCTTCTGCCCATGGGGTGGGGGTCCTCATCCTCCCCTGATGGGGGAGCCAGGGGGAGCAGCTCTGCCTCTATGGGAGCGGAAGGGGTCAGGGGAAGGGGCAGAAGGGAGGAAAAGCCCCCCCCACAACCAGGGGAGGGGCTGCACTCACCCACGTCACCATCCTCATCCTCGCTGTCGAGCTGCCACCGCCGTTTGCTGCCTGATGGTGCGGGGATGGCGAGGGGCTCCTCGCTGTGGGGGTTTGGTAGAGTCAGCAGAGCCCATGGGGGCACCGGGAGAACCCCGAGGCCACGGCCCCCACCCCACCATGAGCGAGGACCTCACTCATGTGAGTATTGTAGGGTCAGCACGTGGGACCCCAGCCTCACCTCTCTGAGTCCGACCCCAGCGGGGAGGGCAGCGGCTCTGCTGTGGGGCAGAGGGGCTCAGGGGAGGTTCCTGCACCCGTCACACTGCTCCCAGAGCCCCGGCCGCCTTCCCCTCCCGCGGGCTCCTGTGGTGCTGCTGGCAGTTCCTGGGGGGGCCCCTGAGGGCTCGGGGGGGTGATGGAGGCGGCTGCACGGCGCAGCTGCTGTGGGGTGAGGGCAGCAGGGATGCGCCAGAAGGACTCCTGGGGACAGAGGGGGGATGCTGTGGGCTGTGCCAGGAGCAATGGGGACAGAGATGGGGACAGGGGCATCACCTGCTCGTTGGCAGGGGGCCGCAGCCCCACCTCCCGCAGCAGAGCACGGAAGCCCCGGTCCTCCATGGCATCTTCATTCTCCTCTGAGAGTGGCACCAACGGCACTGGGAAGGACATCCCTGCGGGGGGGAAGCGCTGTCAGCCCGGCCCCTTCCCCATCCCCAGCCCTGTGCCCCCCCAGCCCCACTCACCTTCCGTCTCACGGTCCCTCGCCGTCCTCCTCAGGCAGTTCTGCAGCCACCGCAGGGGCCCCTCCAGCCCTGGGGACGGCGGAGTCAGAGTGCAGCCCCACTGACCCAAAGGATGGGGGTCCAGCCTGAGGGGCGGTGGGGTCACATCCCCTTGCTCCCACCCACCTTCCTGCTGCAGGCGCTGCACCAAGGCCAGCCCCGTCCCCTCCTTGGGGTCCCAGGGCTCCTCCATGGGGTCATCCTCTGCTTCATCTTCCTCCTCCTCCTCCTCCTCCTCCTCCTCTTCCTCCTCCTCACTGTCCTCAGCAGAGCTGTTATGGGCTGACACCACTGCAGCATCTGCCTCACCCTGCAGGGACCGTAACGCTTGGGTGCCTTGAGAGGAGGGGAAGGGGGACAGCACCCCTGGATTGGAGCCCCCCGGCCCCCCCAACCCACGTACCGTCTGGGGGCCGCAGCTCTTCCTCCGGCGCTTCTTGTGCAGCTCCTTGCGCTCTGCCACCAACCCCATTGCCAGCAGCTTCTCCACCACGCGTGCCCGTGAGCGCCGTGCCGTCAGGTTCTTCATGATGTTCCCCAGGATGTCTGTGGGGGGGCGGGGGGTCAGCAGGGTGTTGGACCCCCCCCCCGCCCCACACATCCTTCCCCTTGGAACCCGCTCACCATCTGATCCCCTGAACTCCTCAAAGAGCCGCTCCAGCTCCAGCTCCTGCTCCTCCGTCCACAGCACAATATTGGTGCCCTTCCTTGGGGGGGAGGACACAACCCTGGGTGCCCACCTGGGCACACAGTGCTCCCCATCACGGGGGTCCCCATTCGGGGTCTCATCCCCACCTTGGCCGTGGGAAGTCCCTGGCGCTGCCCACCAGCCCCATGCGCACCAACTGCTGCACCACCTGCCGCCGCGTGCGGCCAGGCAGCTCCGCCAGGATGGAGGCAATGATGTCCTGACCTGTGGGAGTGGGGGCTGTGAGAAGGGTCCATGCCACCCCCTGCCCCCCACAGCGCCCCCGTACCTTCTGCCTCCTTATACTTCCAGAACAGCTCCCGCAGCGCCTGCTCCTCCTGTGGGCTCCAGGCGGGGGTCCGACGTGCTCCAGCGCTGGGCAAAGGAGTGATGAGGGGAAGTCAGAGCTCTTCTCCCAGCCCACAGCCTCTCCCCGTGCCCACTGCCCCTCTCTCAACCCCCCAGCCTCCCCAGCCCACTCACCCCTCCCCATCCCTCAGGGAGCTGTAGCCCTCACTCATCTCGCGCACAGCCGTAGCGTTCTTCCAGAAGAGCAGCTCCACGAACGCCTTCTTGTTGGTGGCTGCCAGCGCGAAGAACTTACCCAGGATATACTTGGCCAAGGCCACCAGCTCCTGGGGGTGGAACAGAGAGGTGAGGGCAGCAGGATTGCACCGGGCCGGAATCGGGGTGGGGGTGCAGGGGGGAGTTGGGGCTGCGCCTCACCTGGTGGGCGCCGGGGTCGCTGAGGAGGCGTTGGAAGAGGGTGAAGAGGGAGAGCTGGAAGAGCAGCGCCTCCATGCGCAGCTGGCGGGACAGGCGGTGCAGCAGCCGTGCAGCACAGTGGTTGGTGCGGGCGCTGTTCTGTGCGTAGCCCCGCAGCAGCAGCGTGCAGGCACGGACCACGGGCACGCAGGCAAACCTGGAAACCCCCCCCCACATAATTGGTGACCAGCACCGCGCTGCCCTCCCTGCGCCCCCCGCCCCCTCTCGGAGGCTCTCCCCACCGCTTCAGGTAGTCCATGAAATTGAACTCCTTCTCCGACACCTGCACTGCCTCTTCCTCCTCCTCCTCTTCCTCCTCCTCTTCCTCAGGCTCCTCCGGCTCCTCAGCCTCGGGGGAGGGGGTGGGCCCTGTGGGGGGCAGCGTTAGGGGCCCAGAGCTCCCCCAGACCCCACTGCCACGGGACAGGGCCACGCACTCACGGGGCAGCGCAGCAAAGCAGATCTCACGCAGCAGCTGCGTCTCCTCGGCAGGCTCCGCGCTGGGGGGGCCGAAAACATCCCCTTCGGGCCACACTTCCCTGTGTGGAGGGCAGAGGTTGGCACCGCACCCCCACATTCTGAGGGGTGGGATGGGGCTGGGGGTACCTGGCAGAGCGCAGCAGCCGCAGGGCCTGGGGGGCCCCCCCCTCCCGCAGGCACTCCTGGATGCGCAGCAGAGCCAACGCGCGCTGCTTCTCCACCGGGGTCTCCGAGGCAGCGTCAAAAGGCACCACATCCTCAGGGAGCGGCACCGTGCCCTGGGGGCGTCACTGTGTCACCCGGCGCCCCACGGACACCCCTCACAGCAGGGCCCGTCCCTACCTGCAGGCAGTCCTGGAGTTGCTGGGCCACCGCTGCCCACAGCTCCTCCAGCTCGGCTGCGCCCGGCGGCTGCGGCGCTGCAGGGGCACGGGGCTTCTTCTTCCTCCTCACACGTTTGCTCTGCATGACGAAGGAGGGGAGGAGGGTCAGGAGGGACCACAGGGACCCACGCAGAGCCTCGGAGACCCCAGCCCACCTGCACCACGAGGCCGGAGCGGCCACGGCAGAAGCGCTCCAGCATTTGCAGGAAGAGATGCGCCGTCTCCACCAGGTCCCGCAGGAAGGCACGAGGCTGCTTTGTCTCATCGAACTTCCGAAAGAGCGCGAGGAGCAGCTCCCGGTACTCCATCAGATAGAAGATGTGGTCTGGGGGGCGGCAGGGGGACAGGGGCAGCGTGGACAGACAGACGGATGGGTGAGTGGTTGGACAGGGGGACGGACAGATGGATGGCGAGAGACTGGCGCATGGACAAAGACGCGGATAGAAAGACACGAGGAAAGACAGCCATGCAGACAGACAGAAGCACGGACAGACAGACAGAGCCACGGATGGATGAACGCACGGATGGACAAAGGGACGGACTCACTCTTGATGACCTGACTGCTGTCCCGCACCGTCGGCTCTGCGCAGCGGTCCATCTCCTGCACCGTGCGCAGCAGCTCCTGGTACGCCTTCAGGGCCAGGTGCATCCTGCAGGAGGGACGGGGTGCTCAGGCAGTGCTGGGGGGGCTTGGGGCCAAAGAGGGGGCTGCGACCCCCACCTGCGCGCCCAGGTGGCCGCCTCCTTCTTGTCCATCAGGGCCATCTCGTAGTAGTTGGTGAGGTGCTGCTCGATGAAGTGAAAGGCACGCACGCTCACCGTCTCCGACACCAGCTCGGCACGGAACCCCCGGCCACGGTTGAAGGCCATGAAGAAGGCGGTGGCCCACAGGTAGTACGTCTCATCGTGCTGCTGCGCCTTCTCCCGCAGCAATTGGTCCTGGGGGGCGTGCGGGGGAACTCAGCGCGGGGGGGACCCCGGGTTGGGGGGTGGCCTGAAGTGGGGGGGACGACTCCCACCCTCACCTTGACCAGCAGCATCAGGCGGTTGTAGCAGTCCTCCAGGAAGTCCTGGCAGAAGCAGCTCAGGAAGAGCCGGACGTTGCGGGCAGAGCGCCGGGGGGGTCCCGGCTCAGGGGGGGCCCAGCGACGCCACGGCACCCGGCGCGTCTCCTTGCCCAGGTCGTGGCTGTAGCTCTGCAGCTGGGGGGAGAGAGGAGAGCATGAGCTGTGCCCCCTCAGCACCACTGCGAGCCCCTCGACGCTGTACCAAGCCCCCCCCCGTGCTCCCCATCCCCATACTCACGTTGTGCAGCCCCCTATGGAAGACAACATCGTGCTCCCCGATGGCCTTCAGCCCCTGGATGACATAGGAACCGCGGAAACGGGAGTGTCTAGAGGGAGGAACGCACGAGATGAGCAATGCTGGCCCTACCACAGGGCTCTGCCCCCCTCCAGCCCCCCTTCCCACCTGGATGGACGCTGCAGTGCCCGCACTCTCTGCTCTGCTTGCTCCCGCTGCCGCAGACTCTGCAGCTCCCGCGTCTCCTCCCCGCACTCGGCGCCTGCCCGCCCCTGACCCAGCGCTGCCAGCTGCTCCGGGCTCTGCGGGGCGGGGGGTTCAGCACGGCTGGATGGGGGCCGGGGGTGGGCCCTGCACCCCTCACACCCACCTGGTCACGGAACATGAGGGAGACGATCTCGAGGACGTGCAGAGCCCACTGCTGCTCAGCCGGTGTGCTGGCCAGGAACTTGAGCAGGTCATCCATGCCACTGATGTGCAGAGCCCACAGCACGCGGTCGTGCACGCTGGCATCGCCATCCACACCCTGGGGGGCGGCACAGGGCGGGGGCAGCATGTGGGGCACCTTCCCGTGGGGATCCCTGGGTCCGTACCCCCCTCCCCTCCCATTACCTGCTCTGCAGCGGGGTCGGGAGGCACGTGCAGCACGTTGCGCACCAGCAGCAGGATCCGCTCGATCAGCAGCGCGTCCTCCTCCTGCCTCTGCTCCCAGTCCTGCAGTGCATGGCTGTCAGAACTCCCACAGACCTCCCCAGACCCCAGCCCCATAGCTGCCCCCTGACCCTCAGCCGCACTGACCCCCCCCCGGACCCCCAGCACCCACCAGCTGCAGCACTTCGTACAGCTTCTCGCTCAGCACCCCAAACACCTTCTCACTGGCGAACGCCTGCAGAAAAAACCCTTGGTGATCTCTGTGTTCTGGGGGGGGGGGGGGGGTTTGAAGACCCCCCCACCCGGAGTCACCCCGCGGCTGCACCCTCACCTCTTTGTACGCCTGCAGGTAGGACAGCACCTGCAGGAAGTGGTGCCGGGCGGTGGCGTCCGACGGCACTTTGCCAAAGCAGAGCAGCGCTGGCTGCGTCAGGTTCACCATCAGCCTACGGGGGGCAGTTGGGGGGGTTGGACTCGGGACCGCTGCCCACATGGGAGCGCAGCCCCGCACCGTCCTCGCAGCTGCCCGGTACCTGACGACCGCATCGAAAAGGCTCCGGTCCCGCGGGTACTGAACGAGCAGCGGCAGCAGATCGTTCTGCAGGATCTGCGCTGCTCCCAGCTGCTGCCGCACGTCGCGGCTCTCGTCCTCGTGCCGGAGGTACCGGATCAGATCCTTCACGCTCTCTGCGGGAGGGGCGCTCAGAACTCCGCATCCGCCCGGTTTCTTCCCCCTCCCCCCCCATTCCCCGTGCCGTACCGAGGCAGTCGGGCTCGCGGTGGTACACGTCGCCCTCCAGGTAGCCCAGGGCGCTGCAGGTGGCCAGCAGCTCGCAGTTCATCATGTACCAGTCCATGCAGCGCGGGGCGGGCGCGGGGAGCCGGGCAAGACCCGGCGGGGCGGAGCGGCCCGACCCCGGTCCCGGGGCACCGGGTGGCTCTGAGGGTCCGGGCCGCGATCCCGATCCCGATCCCGGTACCGAAAGCCCCCAGCCCCACACGCTCCCGCCGCCGTTACACAACCGGCCCAGTTCCCGCGGCTCCCGCCCCGCCCCGCCCCTCCCGCCGTCCCCCGCCGGAGGCCTTAAAGCGGAAACTCCAGAACAACGCCGGTCAGTCCCCCCCCCCCTCCGCCCACCGCCCGCTACAAGAGGAGGCCACGCACCGCAGCACCCTTCTCCCCCCTCATCCCCCCTCGGGACGCCCACTCCTACACCCCCGCTCTCCCCGCACCGCGCTGCTCCCCACTCCCCACCCCGCGCCCACCTCGACGTTGCCCTTTTAAGAGCGGCTCAGGCTGCACGGTGGCCCCTCCCTCCGGGCGGGGCATCGCCTCGGGCGCGGGAAGGCGCCGCTCCGCGCTCCCCCCCCGCACGCGGTGCTTCCC